AACACAGGGTGATAAAAAAAAACAACAACAACGGTACAACTTTTAAAAATAAATATGTTCCTCCACACTGAAGTTTGGCGTTTCAAATTTGTACACAACATTTGGAAGTTAAAAGAAATTTGTCTGATATTCTTTTTAGATACATAGTGCGTAAAAAAACAACCCATTTTCAGGCATGTCCCCATTTTTGCTGCATGACGCACTAGTTCGCATTAGGCCCGCCACTAAAAATCCCAACGATTGGACCATATTGCAAACTACAAGCAAACAGAGGTTCGCAGATAGTTTTTCTCAAGTTTCCTTTGGCTGCTAAGATCATGGTTACGATTAGTAAAGGGCAAAGAGCATTTTGTATTCAACATTTCCTCACCACCAGCTCATTTCATAAGTTTCGCACAAGGTACGGAAATAATGTTAAGGTTCCCTTAAGGCCTTCTTTGATGTCAAGGGTGGAAATGGTCCATCAGTTAGGACCTGTAGAGAATCGGAACTAAAATTTCCTAGAAAAAAAACGAACACTTCAGGTCAAACACACATCGTTTGCACTTCTTTAAACGTCACCAGGGTGCAGAATTCAGTAGATGAGTCCCATGAGACGTCTGTCCGTAGACGATGTCTGCAGCAATGACTTTCCTACATCTCAACAGTCCGCATTCTCAAGGCAGATCTTCATCTACGACAGTGCAATTTTAAGGCATTTTCCCGTTCACGAAGCTATCACTATCAGAGGACAGCAATATGTTCAAGATTCCTCGATCGTCTTGAAAAGCGCGAACATTTCCTCTATGACATTTTGTTCCTTGGCAAAGTCCATATTTACTTTTCTGGTTATATATATCAACTCCACAAATGCTGTCTTTTTGTGCCCCCCCCCCCCTTATATTGTCTCTCTCTCTCTCTCTCTCTCTCTCTCTCTCTCTCTCTCTCTCCCTCTCTCTCTCTCTCTCTATTTACCTTTCAGGATATGTTAACTCCTAAAATGATGTCTATTGGGCAACTTCACCACTCCCCCCTATCGTCTCTAGGCACAACTTCGTACTGTAAGGTGTACCGTGTGTGTGGCTTTCAGAACTTATGGTTGGGTGGATCCTTGTGTTTGGCACCACTGAACATTACGAATGACGCGTTAAAATGTGTCGAGTCCAAAGGAGGACGTATAGACCATTAGTTCTCGGAATTCTACAATTTAAACAATATTTTTTTTAAAACTCTGTAGGAGAAAAGAAATACTGTTTAAAGGTTACAGGGATGGTAGATTAGATTCAGAAAATAAAAGGAAAGGAAAAAACAAACCAATTATTTCATGACTTTCCTTACAATCTCTTTTAAATTGGTGCATTTTGCATTTATAGGTGGTTTTTATAAACGCCATTTCCGTTTTCAAAAATAAGTTTCTTCTTCGTGAATTTTATGTCAAACACATTAATTTTTTGAATGAATTATATCTGTTCCAAATTACAACATTCTAGTACAAATTTTGTGCGAGATATTTAGAAAAAAAGTTGTACAAGTTTATTTTGGGGGATGACCCTGTACTTTCACTGTGCAAATGTCAGGCCGTGTTCGCAGCTCACAACGTAATTTTGTGTGGTAAAAATTAAGAATGAAGAAGGATGCTGCGCGAGTCAATGGCAACGTCAAAAAGTAATTATTAATGTATTACATGCAATCCTTAGAACGGCGTGGTTCTAAATCTTCCTCCATCGGAAAAATAACAAAAAGCAAAAACAAGACAAAAGAAAACAGAAAAAGGAAACTACAGAGAAAACAAACTACACACAAACAAAACAAGGTAAATTTGGAAACGTTTCTGTCGAAGTTCAGATCCAGTTCTCCAACTCCAACTCAAATTGTTAAATTTCTTAATTAACGACTGAGTCGATTTGCAATCACGGTGCTCCCCTTCAAATGGAAAAAGTGGAATTTGTATACCCATGAGTATTTTAAATACGAATATATATA